CGAGCATCCTTATCCTGGGCCACGGTCCAGATGCTTATCCTAGACCAGCAAATCTAATTGGATGAGATTGTTTTGTGTAACATTTGTCTTTAAAAAAAAAAAAAACACAATTCGCGTTTTTTTAAAAAAAAGTTACGAAATGCCTTTTTTTAAAAGCATTTAATACTACCGTTTTAAAGTAATATGTCATTTAAATTTTGTATTTTGGTATGAATTTTATTAAACTTTATTAATACTAAATAAGTAAAATTGCATATATAACTTTATAAAAAAGGTCTTTACATTATTTTTTACTGTAATATTATTATTAAAATTATTTTAACGTTAATATCAAAAAAAAAGTACAAAGTAATATTATATTAGCTTTATAAGTAATGTTATAAATGTGTAATTTACAACCTTTTTTGAACAACTTCGCTTAACCCCAAAGCTTTTTTTTTTAAAAAAAACAACTTGATTTCCAGAATAATATCAATATACTGTATCATAAAACTCTTCAAAAAGAAAATAAAAAACATTTAGTATTATCATAAAACTACAATAAATACAATTAAAATTAAATATACAAACTGAAATGAAATATGAAATACTAAGTACTAACATACCACAAAAAAGAATAGAGAAAGAGTGAAAGATAGGAAGAGTGAAAGATAAAATAAATTATGCCGGAGTTATGTAATAAAAAGTGCTGATTAGCCAATCAAAAGTTGACTAGTCCAGAATAAGCATCTGGACCGGCGGATCAGGTTAAGGATGGCCGCTCCGGTCGAATTTATGAAGCAATGCATGGAGGACCCAGAAATATATATATACAGTATAAGGGTCAGGTGGCGAAAAATTTTTTTACTATGAGCTGTACGCAGAGACTTTTTTATATGGGTAGTACGCAGGCATTAAGTTTAAATTATTTTATCATGACTTCTTATATTATTTATAAAACCAATAATATTTTTCCAAAATTTCACTTTTTAATCCTTAGAAATTTCTTTTAATTAATACTAAATATTACAATGCGGTTAACGTTCAGTAAATATATTATATATATAAGATTAGCCCAAAAATACGCAAACTAATTTTTTACATATAAAAATTTTGATAAACTATAGGATGAAAAATTCTTAAATTCCGCGAACAATAGAATTTTAATTAAACAGAAAACCGATAAACAAATTTTACTACTCCTAAATGGTAATTATTAAAAAATAACAAAATATATATATATCATACAGAATATTTACATTGGCGCCTTTAATCATTAGAAATATTAATCAATCTTTAATTATTTGAAATATTTCATATTCTTCTACAGAAAACAAACCGCTGACTTTTCTAATAAATTTGTCATAAAATCCGGTATAACGACAAACGCTCCAACTATAATTATTTCCACGTAATTTAAGGTCACCATCACCAAAAGATGGACCTAATCCAAGATTATTTACTATAGCATATGTTTCATTCTTTACTCGGCTTAAAATATAATTTTCAATATTTTCCTTATTCTTAAAAGAGAATATAAAACTATCTTTAGTGGCGCCAAATGTATCATTAGATTTCCATACAATCGGATTATATCCACCAAGGATTTCATTGCTATTTTTCACTTTAATAATTGCTATAGTATGAGATTGATAATCACAAATCTCATGGAATTTTTGAGATGAAAATCCATCACGAGATCCACGAAGAATCAACTTAAATTCATATGAATTTTTCATCTTGTTAGTAATTTCTAATCTATCAATCCATTTCGATATCAATTTAGCATGTTTGATTGTAATGATTTTTGAATCAATACTTTTTGAACTAGTCTCTTTGGTAATTATTTTTGGTTCTGGATTATTTTTCGGTTGATCAATAGAATGTATGATTAAATTTTCACGCAAATCTTTTGGTATAACTTTCTTGTACGGATATACTTTATCTAAATATTCTTTAGAAGTTAAATTAAAGAAATTAATAAAAGGAATAAATTGTTGTAAAGTATTTTTTAAAGTAATAAAATCATCTCTTGAATAATTAGAAGGATCTGAAGGAAGTCCAGGATTTTTAGCAATACCCCATTTAAGTACATGTTCCCAAACTTGAATAACATTCTTTTGAATATTATCATGTTGAATAAGAGAAATCAAACATTTTTCTGAAAGTGAAATAAAGTTGATTGAATCAAAAATTTTTTCTGGTTCTTTAGATATTAATTCTGTACAAAAATCTTGTAATTTTAAGAAAGAATCATTCGCAAAACTTGTTTTATATATCAAGTTAAAATTTTGTTCCATCCAATTTTTTTTATTTTCGATTAAAAATAATTGTAAATGAGTGATTAATTCTTGAAGACTAAGTTCACTGGAAGCGACCAAAATTTTAATTATATCCGAAGTATCATATTCCTCTAAAGAAAGCCTTCCCCCATAGATATATCTAAAACGAAAATATTAAATGAAAAATTTTGAATATTTTCGTAAATTTTAAAATATTAGTTTTTTTTTAAAAAAAAAAAATCGCTAAATTTTTTACTTCAATTCTCTCACCTTAAGATCATTTGAAAAATTTCCGGTGAAATATTTGGTAACTTAATATGTGTTAAACTTCCATCATTATTATTTCTACTAACGCTAGTTGATAAGATTCTTCGTAAATAAGGAGAACGATAATTTAAAATAATCATATGAGCTCGAAAAATTTTTACATAAGGATCATTACCAACTTCAATTGTTATATCATAAAATTCATTATCTTCTAAAATTTCAAGTAAATTTTGTGATAATTTTGGCAAAAATTTATTATCATACATTATAATCAAATTTTGTATTTTCAAGAAATAAAAAAGAAAATTGCTAAATAGCTAAGCCTTATATTCTTGTTCGGAAAATTTTCGGCCCGAGAAACAAAGGTTAACCACGTGATTATTGCAAATAACAATGCTTTGTTTCTGTACGACCGACCATAGGATCTTATGTTCTTATGTTCTACTTTAAGATTTTATTTCTTGTAGATTGTGTCGTATCTGGTTTTTTCTGACAAATAAAATAAAAATAAGCTATGTTTATATTTTTTCATCTATCCACGGCGGAAGAGAGTATTTGATGCAATAAATTATAAAATGTCATGAAAATAAATTCCGATTAAAATACAATTTTGGAATTATGATTATTTATATCTTTCATTAAGTGTTATAAATCGGAAGCCTTTATAGCAGCCAGTGGCTATCCCCTGATCTCCACCAAGAAATTCATTGTGAAATCTCAAAGGTAAGCACATACCCAAAAAAGAAATAAATATGATAACTTACAAAATTTAATTTGAAAAACTTATATTTAATTGTACGATAAAATAGGTTATATTGTATTTTTTATTTTTGTATAATATTTGAAATGTAATATTGGAAATTTGCTTGTGCATATTATATTACATTTAAGCAATTTATTTTTTCTCAAACAAGGATAGTGACGTGGTTTTAAATTTTTTGATTTTATCTAAGGGCGTAAGGAATGTCCAGGAATGTTCCTTATAATACTAAAGACCTATCCTGCTAGGATTCCCTAAGCTAAATTCTAACTAACCATTTTGGTACGGATTTTGAAATACATTTTTTTTCAAAAGATGTATAATAATTCCAGATAAAATTTAGCAACAACATTGAGGAAATTTACCAAACTGTGATTAGTTTTTTAACTAATTTATTACAAAGACAAATTTTATAAAAATAGTTTAGATATACTGATTTCTCGTTAATGTTTTAATTTTCTCGAGATAAATTTATAATATTTCCATATTAATGCACTATACTACAGCCACATATAACAAAAAGAAAATGGAACTTGTACACGTGGACAAACCTAACTTACTCCTTTAAGGGTTGAGGGTATTTCGCAGAGTATCGCAGAGTAAGAAACAGTCTGGGTAAATTACGAACTTTTGGCCCATAGATTCATGGATATCAATATTTTATGTTCAAAACATATAGATATTAACGTTCAAGATAAACAGAATTTAATTTATAACAAGATAATAAATTTTTTCTTTAATTTTATATAGCTGAGAGAATTATTGGTTTAATTTGATTATTTTTCTGAGTTATCTTTATTGGTAGGTAAACTGATAAAGATAATTTTTGTAGCGTCAATGATTAAGTTTTTTTATTTTTTTTTTAAAAAAAAAAATTAATTACAAATCATTCTTTATTTAGCGTATATTTCACTTGTTTAATAAAGATATCGGATTTGTTATTTATGAACTTGGAATCTGCAGGTATGATCGTAAACATAAAAGTCTACCCTTCACATATGTGAGGAAAATTTAAAATTTGTGAAAGAGGTTTTTAAAGCATTCATGTATGAATCAAAAGTTCTTCGAATATTAATGAATCATAAACAACTATTTACCATATAATCTACATTTCAAGATCCAAAGATTAATTTTCTTCAGCCATCCATAAATAATACAAGTATAATTGCATTATAGCATTTCAGTCCTCCCCTTTCCTATAAAAATAACAAAACTAGTATGAAATTACACAAGTCATTAATAAAGATCAACCTATGCTTGGATTTCTTTCGTCAATAAGACCTGGATTTTTGATAAAATCGACAATAAAATAACAGCATGACCAAAATTTAATAAAAGTAACACTATGAAAATAATGTAAAGAACAGTTTGAATTTTATTGTAACGGAGAAATAACACTAAATGTAGATTATTAAGAAACATTATTATTATTATATATATTCATGCTATTAGTAAAAAAATTATTAAGGAAATCAGAATAAAGGTTATGATCAGTGAAGAATGCTAAACACCTAAACCACCTTCCACGAATATGTCGCAAGATTAAATATTGTCCATCGGGTAAAATCAAAGCGTACATATTTAAACCTTTAGGAACTATATCATGAACACTGACTGCGGGATGCAATTTTGTTTTTTCTTTGTTAAACTCTCTAATTTTACCCTTGACATTTAATCCTATAACATTATTTAATATTCCAGCATTATTCAAGTCATTTAGCGTTTTTGTTATGTATCTTTGTTGGATTGGAAACTTCGTTGGATCTAGGGACTTTACTACAATGTTGACCATTGTTACGGGTGGTGGTTTTGGCTCCCTTGGTTGGAGTGATATGATTGCTCGCTTTCCTGGTCTTTTGATCGGTCTTTCTGGAACCTCTGTTAGAAGTTCTTCCATTATAATATCCTCTTCCTCTGTCAGGGTTATGTCGTCTGGTTCCTTTAAAAAAAATTATAGTTAGTTTAATAATAAGCGAGAATACACACCAAGTAAACCTTAAAATAAATAGACTTACCATCTGGTTTTGAGTAAGCAATTTCACTTTCATGTTTCTTTTGATTCAAAAATAATAATACTTCTTCGTGTTCCTCGTACGGCTCTCCTTCTGCAATCCACTTAGAGTAAGCACCCCAATCAATAGTTGACCGGATTGACTCTCTAAGTTCTTTTAATTTTTCTTCAGATACTTTAGACATGAAAGAATTTTTTGCATTAAAATAATGATAACCAATTTTATTAGTGTTCAGGAATGACATGTAGTTGAATAACATTAATATCAGATGACTCGGTCATTTGTCATTGAATAATGAAGTTGACATCAATTGAATCATTTGTCATTTCAAGTCATTTGCACGGACACTGATGCAGTACTTTGGAAAAATTGAATACTATACTCGTGTAACATTAATAGATTATTTTGACGTAATAAATTGAGATATTTTTAATTTACAAATGAAAACTCTAGTAAAATAATGATAATAGAATCGAATTATGTAAATAATCAAAGAAATTATTGAAATAGAAAAAATATCGTAAATTCCGAAAGATGAGATGATAGTGGTAAACATATTTTTAAAACAAAGTTAAAAAAAAAAAAGTTGGAAGTTATAAATAAATTGTTTGCAAAAGGATAAAAAAGCTTCTAAAAAAATCTCCTGGTGTGGATAATCGTAAATTGACCTAAGCCAAAATAAATGATTTCTTATATCGATTTACCGATTTCCAAATTGGGCCAAATTATCACATGATATATTATCTGTAGAAGTCCACAATAGTTTCGATATTCATAAAGAAAATTCACAGGCTGATGCGCCAATAATTTAAAATGAGTATAAAATTGCGTTGATCGCTCGATTGATTTGAAAATTCAAAAAAATGTTAAATCAATCCATAAATGGACAACAAGCACGATAATTAGGAGGAACAATATAATTTGAGTCATTATTCATATACTGCGACTAATTAATTTTAATTCCTAAGGACCTTTGGAGATTTTTTCCTTTTTGCGATTTTTCAGGGTTTTCTATCAAATTATATTCTGAGCTATTGATTTGGTTACATCATGATTGCCCAACAGACAAACATTCTGTAAATATCCTTTTGAGAAACATATATTGAAGATTATTAAATACTTTTAAGATTTATATTATGTTACTACGACAAAATCAGATGAATTCTATTTTTTTTTAGTGCGTTTAGAAACAGTACATTAGAAATATTGTTAACTATTATTGTTAGAGAATTTATCCCTAATGATAATAACAAAGATTTATTATATAAATTATTATTTATTTGTATTAGTTACAGAATAAATAATAAATTTAATATTTATATATGATTTTTAAAATTTTTAAAATTAGGACAGTTCAATCTGATTTTCGGATTTTTGATCGCTAATAGTCATATTCTTTTTTCATTTCGATGAAGATATGGGAATGGGACTTATACAAGATAAGACAACCGAATATTTACAAGAACTCTTGGCTCCTTTTGATAAACCAGTCGATTGTAATAATATCAATTTATACTTTAATACACCGCAACGAAGGAAGTTGCCACCCCCCCACATTCTATGTCGTGAGCATCCTGACTTTTTTGATCAAAAAGGTATCGAGTTTCTTCCTGACGTAATGGTTGCTGTTGGGAATGCTATGGAACTCTATAAGGGTAAGAATAACCAGGAGATGGAAACCAGTTATATGGTCGACAATGTCATTCGGAAAATGCATCAACTTGCTGATAAATATATTGGTACACCTGAATTATAATGAGCTCGCAACAATAAAATGAATGATTTCACTACAACTAACAAGAAAAAAGTCCGACCAGATGTATTAGTTTATTGTAGAGACGTACTTGTAATAATGGGCGAGGAGAAAGCTGCTAATTCAACACTTGCAACTGCAGCGGCAGATTTAGATTATTACTTTAAATTTTGGACCATGCTTGCCTTTGGTGAATTACTTGTTTTTGCCTTTGCAACAGATACAATTTTATTATTTTCATGTAGTTGAATCATCAACAACACCAAAACGTGAGAGAATTGGAGGTGTTCTGTCACTTGGAACTGAAGTTAAGCGTAATAACTATCTTGCAATTAAATATTATTCGGATTATTAGGACTTTTGACCACTAAGGTGTTGTAAAAAATCCTTTTCTTAAGTTATTTAATGTAATTCACCGAAATAATGGCACCACCATTACGATACACCCCTAAGAGGTTAAAAAATCAATAGATTTGGCAACCATTGCGGATAAAGTACTTCACAATGATCTTTACACAAGAATTCTTAAAGGATTGTGTGAGTAATTTTTTCTTGCATTTTTATTTATATGAGTAATTATATTTAACTTTTACATAGCAATTTTGCCGTAACCCTCCGAATTTAGTATTAGTATCAGCAAATAACGTTAAATCTATTCTTTCTTACATTTATTTTATTCATTTTAACAAATTACTCGACACCTCTTAATATTCTTAAAAGCAATATTAATACTTTTCTATTATTTTACAGTATATCAGATAAATCCTAGTATATAAAACTTTGATCACATGCATTAATACTTTCATCACAGAAATTAATCAAAATTGGCGTATTGATCAGGAAAAGTACACAATTTAAAATTACAAAAGAACCCTTTTTGAAAAAATTATAAGTATTTTAAGAATATTTAAAAAAACTAGGAAAATTAGCTTAACTAAATTTCTTTAAACATTGATCATCCTTTTATAAATGTCAATTCGACAAATTCGTGTTAAACTAATAATACAACTTTAGTTAGCGTATACATTTTTTTTTAATATTTATTTGTGAAAAAGTGATCCCGAAATTTTTAATGTGTGAATCTTGTCTTTGGAATTCCATCATTTGAATCATATATCTACGTCGATAACGACATCTGAAAATCAATTAAGAAGTTTTTATTTCAGTACAGTAAATGTATAAATATATACAGTATGTATTTATTTAATTAATTTAGATGTTGCAGCCTAAAACTTAAGTAATTTGACATAATTAAGTCATATGACTTAACAAGATTATTTAGATATTTGAGATTATTTATATCATTTTTCATTTGTTAATATTCTCTTAGTAGAAAATTATTAAAAGTTAAAGTTCCTTTTTTAACATGATGTTTATTACGGTGAAATTTAAAATGACTAAGGAACGATATAGTTTCAACATTCCGTGGAAGTGTATATAACGTACATTAAAATAATATATTTTCGGTTTGTCAGTTTACTTTGAAAATCCTAAAGTAATTTTAAAATTTTACAAAATTTTCTTTTTATTTATTGGCGTGTCCATAATGTTCATGATAATAAAGATGGTGCATTTGTTGTTATATGTTATATACTTAAATAATGTTTCGTTATTAAATGTGATAATATTCTGCGGTTAATATCCAAGAGAGGAAGAACAAATAACAAATATAAATAGTAAATGATAAAAATTATTTACTGTTTTTTTAAATTACAGGTTTACAGCTATTTGCGAAAATAACGGACCACTTAATCATTTTTTGATTGCGTATGAACCCGGACCGTTACAGTGAACTCATTTTTTAAATTGCAGTCATCCGCAGTTATATCACAATAATTCTAGCAGTTTACTATGCGTGTATGACTGCGTATGACTGCGTATGAAAATTTCATACGCAGATCGAATTAGGTCATCCGTTTTTTTATAAATAGCTGTAATAAAATTAGTAATTAATTATAATTAAATTTAAAGGAATGAAGTTTCCATTTGACTTTCAATCGAACTATTGGCAACTAGAAGCCTGCGCTGGACGAAACATATAAAACCGGGTCTGGGCCTATAAGTTTTTGCCAAAGATTCAACCTGAACCTGATCCAACGTAGGCCTCTATTGACAGTATAATTTCGAAATAATACACAGTATAAAGATTTCTTATGAAATTTTGGAAAAAAAACTTAATCTGAGTTAGAACATTTGTTTTAATTCGCCAATTATAAAATAAAATTTAAGCTAGCCAAATTTTTTAATTATAATTATGTTTTACATGTTAGCGATGGTTTTGGGGAGAGATCACTTGGAGAATTATTTTAATACCACGATACAGGTAGTAATAAAATGACTTCACAATTATCAGAGTACAAAAACATATCTCACGATTTGTAACTTATAATTAATTTATATTAAATTTTAATAATACATCGATAATTGAATATCAAATATCATTATACCTACTTTATTATGCTTGAAAATTAAGTTTATAAATGTACTAAACACTTTAAATTTTGTATTTTTCTTATGTCGCATTTAGAATTTTGTCATCAACAATTATTGTCATGATTAAAACATAGTAAATAAGCAGATATTCAGATTTGTCATTCCTTGAAGATTTGATGAATGTGACGAATAGAGATTGCACTGAATTCAAGATCAATTTTAACAAATCTGATTATATTGATAACTTTATTAACGCTCTCACATTCTACTTTTCTGATGGTTCTGTTGAAGTGTTTGGAACACCAGGACATATTGAGCTTTTGATTTTGAATGGCACAAAGATGAAAAGATTATACATGAATTATTTTTAACCATTTTGAATAACCCAATAAAAATCATTCATAAAATTACATTCTTTAATAAATGGATTATTAAATTAATGATTAATATAGTTAATATTGATTAAATAAAATTCTTAACTGTAATTCTTAAATTCAATAAATTATATTAAGTTCGTTTAATGAAGTAACATTCTCTAATTTGCATTATCCATTCATCTGGATGAATATTTCCATCATATTTTGGAAGTTTCATCTTTCTTTAAGAAACAAGTTACAAGATAACCAAATGGCGCGGTGGTACGGTGGTGCAGTAATTAATTAATCATCAAAACGTTACGTGACACTGCACCATTACACCAATTTACTTCAAACAGTTTAAACTATATAATATTAGAGTAAGAGAGTAGTAAATAGTAACTTGCGAAACTTATGAAAGCAAGTGGAAATACGCACACAATTTTTTGAGAAATAATATTTCAATGATGTGAATTATCGTTAAATGAGGTTTATATTCTTTAGAAAAAGAAAAGTTTAAGTAGAAAAAAAAAATTTATGTAGAAATATGTAGAAATAATAAAATAAAAGTTTATATATTTTCAGTTGTACAAAAATAGATAAAATTTTAATGATGGCAGACTATTAGTAAATATGGTAATGATATTACGCAATTAAATTTTGATCTAGGATCGATTGATATGATAAATATGACTCACAATCCATATACCTCCTATAAATATTACTCATTGTATTCAAAAAGGTATATATATACCCTCAAAAATTTCTCAACCCTCTTTTTTTTTTTAAAAAAAAATACAAAATACACTTATGAAAAAAATATAAAAAATATTTTTTTCATAAAATACATACTCTTTTTTTTTAAAAAAAACACGTTTTTTTTGTACACAAGTTTTTTCATACACTTTTTTTAAAAAAAAATATGCTTACAAAAAAAAAAAATTTTTTTATTAAAATATACAGTATCTCTTTCTCTAAAAAATACACTTCATGAAAATATATTTTATTACTTCAGAGAAAATATACCTTCTAATATTTTTTCATCACTTACCTATACATTCTTTTTGCTTTTTTATTACATATAAATACAAATATTCTTAATAATACACTTGTTCTACTCTCTATTTTAATAAAATCTATAATTAATACATTCTTTTTTTTCTCTTACTTCAAACATTACCTCCTCTCAAATATTATTTTTTTTCTTTCATATTATTCTCCTATTTCATATTTTAAACATAAATTACATCTTTAGTTCCTTCCAATTCTACAATGACATTTTTTGCATTTTCTCTTGATTTTTACAAGTATATAACTCCTTTATTCTCTACTATTTTTGATAAGCTGTTGAGTATAAACACTATTCTATCAAGTACTATAACAGTTAGAGATAAAGTAACAGAGATTAAAAATCATGCTCCATGAGAGCTTATGAAACTTTTAAATTCTATCACTGCCTGAGATCAAGAATTATTTCTATATGACCAATAAACTGATCAAAAAGGTTTATTTTTTCAAAGGTTTGGATTATGCCAATTTCTTGACATGTTTTCTGATCTACAAGACATTTAACATCTTATTTTGATATCAAAGATTCATACTATGGAAAACTATAAAAGTATGCAAAACCTTAGGTTACACATTTATAAAAATGATTATTACAATTTATGGCTAATGATAATTATGATAATTTCAAGTATCTCAATACTTATACTTTGAGAAAGATATATTTAATATAAAAATTTCCTTTAAATTTTAAACTTCTTTCTTAAAAAATACTTTTTTCTCTGAAATAGATTCTGTTACTTTAGGAAAAATATATTCTATATAAAATTTTATCAAGTTATTACAACATTTACAGCCAATCTTATCTGGAAACCACATTCTGAAAAAAAAATCTGTGACAAATTGCAATTACTTCTAAATGCAATCATATGATCTACAGTTCCATATGGTTTATTTGACAAGACCTTTAAAAGTGATGTGTTTAACTTTATTTTGCAAAATGAGTAATGCCTAAGCAAAGTCAAGAATGGATTACTCAATTGAGTCAGGGAGTTCCTAGTTTATTTAAGAGATTACTTGGATTTGTTTGCTTAGGTTGGTGAAAGGTGATGGGTGATTTTTTATTTTGCAAAATGGGTAACTCCTAAGAAAATCTAGAACAGATTACTCAATTGAGTTGGGGAGTTCACAAGTTTGACTTAGGAGAATTACCTTTAGGAAGAAAATCCATGGATATTACCTTTACTCCTAAACCATTTTGATTGCAATATCCTTATAAGGATGAACTACTTGTGGACTGTTTTGTACTAAACTTTGGCAAATGGGAGTCAGAAGAATCTGTAGATAAATACACCATAAATTATCATGGTCATCTACACCTACCTTGATCACAATATTGCCCAGGGTATTCACATTTTGAAGAGAAGGATAGACAACAATCTCAAATACTATATCATCCTCAATTTAAAGAGGAGAAATTTAAAATATTTGCATAATTCACAAAATTCTGTGAAAATAGAATAGCCCAAATGAGGGTGGTGATGATGAAAAAGAGGATTATGGTGATGATCATGGATCCAAAACAAAGAATAATGAGGGTGGTGATAGGATTTACAATCACAATTATTACAATTACAATTCAAGCTAGAACTTGGATGAATAGTACTGAAGGCTATGAATATGAAGAAGTCGTTGTGTTGATTTGCAGAGAAAAGAAGTTGGATGAGCATAGCAATTTGATTTTAGTTTTGCAGATTGATGCCCTATAAAAAATATATATACGGTTAGTATACTGTATTTTCGTATTTTGCGAACAGTATATTTATAATATTATTACCGTATAATTACAGTATTTTCACATACTGTATATATTCGGTATTCTGCACACCGTATCATATATACGGTTTGCATACAGTATATTTTTCCAGTTTCACCCATATGTTTTATACTTGTAAACAGTAGAAAAACTGTATGTTTTATACTAATAAACAGTATATTGTTTTATATTTTATATTGCGAACAGTATACTTTTCCAGGATAAACCGTATATTTTATACTGATAAACAGTACTTTTTTCCAGTTTAAACTGCATATTTTGTACTGATAAATAGTATATATTATTCAATTAAATCGTATATTTTATATTTGCAAACAGAATTTAAAATGCATTTATAATCAATAAAATTTTTATTAAATAATATTAAATATACAAATATTTTTTATAAATAATATAAATAAAAAACTAGTATAAAATAATATACTATTTGTAAAAAATATAATATTAGCAAAATATAAACAAAAAAAAAGAAATTTAATTAGTAATATTATCATTATTTTAAATATAAAAAAGAAATAATAAAAGGTTAGTAAAAAAAAAGAAATTTAATTAGTAATATTATCATTATTTTAAATATAAAAAAGAAATAATAAAAAGTTAGTAATATTATTAATATATTAGTTAGATATAAAAAAGTAATAAAACGATAGTAGTAATAATGTTAGTAATATATTAAAAAAAATTAAATAAAATACATAAAAGTAAAAAAAAAATATAATTAATATATGTTAACATATAATATTAATATAAAAATAAAAACATAAAACGGTGTACATATAGTTGTTTAATTAATATTGTTAAAATTCACCATTACAATTCCTGAGAGATATTAGTGAAAGTAATTGTTAATTGATATACATGCATATCACTTTTTGTATAATTAGTAGTTTGGTACAAATATATATTATATATTATCAAAATAAGTTTTTTATTTAATTTTTATTATTATATGTTAAAATAATTTTGGTATTCATTTTTATTGTCTTTTTTTTTCTAAAAAAAAAGAAGAGAAAAGAATATTTTTGAAAAAATAAACAAAAAATAAACAATAACGTGTTATTAATGCATGTGATCGGCGATCAGCTGAATTTTAATTGGTTAAATGTAGAAATGCGAAAATTAAAAAGCAGAAGTATTTTTTT